GGCATACATAATGTCACGTTTCTATAATATCTAGCATACTACTACCACTGAAAAAATGATTCTCAATGTTTCTAACCCTTCGACTGATCATATAGCCGCAATGTTAAATGATGATAAAGGCAAACATGCTCTTTTCTGTGCTTTGAAACATCAAGAGTTTACCTAGACCAAGGGCTGCAATACTGCCAAAGATATGTGGGATTCGGTTAATAAAGCTTATGAAAGAATCTCTGTGGTCAAAGAAGACAATGTACAGCTTCTTCAAGTGAAGTCTGAAGACAGTGAAATTGAGAAAGAACCAGAAGATTTTTCATCTAAGAATAAGGTTTAATACATAGCAGAGAAGATTAGAAAACTCAGATCTAAGATGGAAAGGCAAGCTCAAAATCAGACCTACTATAGTTATGGTAGCACTGGTCAGAATTTTGAAAATAACTCAAACAACAAAGACAAGCTGGTCAAGAAAGCTTTGGTCTTTGAATGGGATTCTAGATCTGGTGAACCATTGAAGCAACAAGTTAATAATGAAATTGAAGATGTACCTACAAAAAAATACATTCTACATGAGATTGATATTGACAAACAGAATTCAGTATTACAGCTGCCAAAGATTATATCTCTTTATCAAATCAAAATAAATCTCTCCACTATTTGCTCTTTCTCACTGGCAACATACTACACACTTAAATTCAGGCCAAAAGATTCATTAAGGAGTTCTATGAATTGCAAGGTGTCTCAGTGGTGTTCAACTTATAATATTTTACAAAAAGGTTGGAAGAATGTTTTTGAGCTGTCACTGGAAGCCGATAGTGTCCACAATAGAGCTATTACAAGGAGACCTAATCATACCTATTCATTAACTGCTAAAGATAATCACAATTTTCCTATCATGAAGTTCATCAGTATACCAAGTCAATTCAACAAAATCCAGTTTGATATATGAAGCTCTGAAGAAATATGGAGAAGAACTGAGCTTGGATACAATTTTTCTACTGTTCAAAGGTCATTCAAGCACAATCATAATGTCATTAACAATTCATATATTTCCCTAAGGTATGACAGACACAACCTCACTAACCATTTCCTAAATTATTCAAGAAACTTATCAACTTGTGTTATGAGAAAAGTTTATATGCACTGGTTTCTTGAGTATAAAGATAAGAGGTACTTCATTAAGATCAAAATGATGAGACCATCTTTGAAGACTAACTCAATGAGTAGGTCCCCCTATGATCTGCAACTCAAGTGGCAAATGAAGTTGTGATAATAATTGTTCAGGGCACTTGAAGATGAGGACAGAAGTTCATTATATTGTTGAGGGAAGTTCAAGATTGTCAAAACCTGAAGTTGCTCACTTAAACAAGTTCTGTAAGTATAAGATTGATCAAGTTTGGAGACTTATTATAAGAATCTTTGACAAGGTTGAAATCAAATTCAAAGGAGATCTCTAAAACAACCTCACAGAAAAAAGGGAAGACAAATCAACCACACTTAATCCTCATCAAGTCTTTGTCTAGTATGGTATATGTTGCACTTCTCACTGTTAAAATAAAGCCTGAAATGTACATATCACAGAAGTACAGTGATAATAAGTGTTTCATCAATACAGCTCATCAAGCCAAGCAACAAAAGAAAATTGATGGAAGCTCTAATCCTCTTGTTTATGAAGAAGTAGAAAGACTGTAGTGCAAGCTCAATAGCTTTGAAGCTAATAACTCTGTATTCACCTAAGATTCTCAGCCTTCTGTTCTCACTCAAGCTGATTCTCAGCATTTTTGGATAAAAAATTCATTTCGAGCCACTGAGTATCAATTTCTAGACAAGTTACACCAAGGTGTTGATGCAGTTGTCATTCACAAGAGAAGTGTACCAACCTTCTGTATGCAGTTTTAAAGGAAAAACCCCTTTTCATCCTTCAAATATCATCTTTTTGATTTACCAAGCCTCTTAGTTGTTTTTCCAAGACCACCTCCACTCAGAGACAAGGCCTTTCATGGCACAAATGCAGAGGTAAAATAGTTGTTCTTAAATTCTGAATTTATAGGTGTGAGTGTACATCTCTGTCATCTAAGAGGAAGGCCTAATAAAGCTATTTTTCTGGTGTTAAAATCTGAAGTGAATCTATTTTGATTCACTTCAAGAGCTAAGTGAAGGATGAGGCAAGTATATCCTACTTATTTGCATTCAATCCATCTATTTCAGTCATTTATATAATATCAATGTTGGTCCCTTGATCCTTTTGACTTTCAATATCAAAAAGGGGGAGAATTTAGGGTTTCTAGGGGTTTGATATTAAAAGGCAAAAGGGGGAGATTGTTGGTCCCAAAGCTATATCTTGAGGTTTGCACTTTTAATGTCAAATGCATGATAAAAGGTTCAAGGCTATGCATTCTAGTTTCAGCCACTTACATGGGTATTTTAGTCTTTATACATATGTGTGACCTTATTACATTTCCTTGAGGTGCTGCATTGCACCATAGAATTTAGAATCTGGTTGATATATATATATATATATATATATATATATATATATATATATATGTTGCAGCAACATATGTCCTTGTTTAGGGTATTTTAATAATTTTGGTTACATCCTCAGGGATATTATGGTGAATCATGTATGTTGTGAATGTATGGATTTATCTGCAGAAGGCAAATTTTGCTGAAAATACATTTATCTTGCTGAAAATGTTCATCTCACTTATATGTTTAACAAGCATTCAATTGACGGGAAAATATGGTATTATTTTGGTATAGTGAAGGACTCACAGCTTGGTGACACGTGCACAGTGGTCCTAGTGAGAAGGTTGATGACAACAATGTATATCTTTGGCCCTAAGCCTGTGATATATATAACAGATTTGTACATTGACATTTGTAGGTTGCATAGAGGTGGGAGTTAGTGAATATCTAAATAAGCTGTGCAAGGACAATATAGACCATTCACACACTGCATTGTCAGAATATTCTCCTCTTCTGTGATTGGAAAAGGATAGCTCATTCTTATCCACTGAAGGGCTGCATCAGCTATCGACCTAAGCATATAAATATGTTGTTATAATGCTGCTGAGAGAGACAGAGCCTGAGATGAGCCTTTGTGAATTAAAATAAGCTATAATGTGAGAGGATCTTGAGAGCTAAGAGTGAGCAATGTATCTCTGTGTCTCCAGATAATGATTCAAGCTAAAAATCTATCTCAGACTGCTATCATTGAAGATCATACTCTTGATGAATCCTAAGGTGGTGACAGTTTACAAATTTCTGGTGCAAAGGGGAGGTTGAGGAGGTTCAAATTTGTTGTGGTCATTTCTAGGGCTAGAACAAGGTTCAAGCATGTGCGTTTGCTATTTTTATATCTGTAGAAGGTGCTCATAGTTACACATGTGAGCTGCTGTAAGTTTACATATCCTAAACCTGCTTAAATCTGGTTTTCTACTGGATAACTACTGCCATTAAGCTTATTGTTATTATACCTTGCTCTTACATGGATGATTAACATTTGAGCATGCTTATAATGTTGAATTAAGAGGGTGAATTCTCAGATACATCTCAAAAAACTGACCACATATGTTATGTACTCTCAAAACCCTTGAAAACTAGGGTTTTGCGTTGAGATAGGCTTATTCTGTGAAGTACTCTAACTAGCTCCAATTGAGTTGATCTCTATTTGAACAAGTTCATATAATTGATTCAAGTTTGAGAGTATCAAGTCCAAGCCAGTGCAGCTCTGAAATTCTAGTTTTGCCCTTAGTATCATTGTTACTGCAGAAACTGCTGAGAATTGTACATTGTGTTAATTTTACACTAAGTCTGTTGCTGTCAACATGTTGATCTACATATGAGCAAGTTTAATTTGTTATTTGAATACTATGTGTACTGAGATTTGAAGACATAAATGAATGGATCATGTTTTGGGCTTTCAATACCTGAACAATTTAGTATTCTAGTTCACAGACATCAATGCTAAGCTTATTTCTTCACAATCTTGCTATACATGTTATGTCCATCATTCTAGCAAGTATACATCATTGTTTTGAAGCTGTGAAAGTCATTAATTGAGCTATTCTTCAAATACTCTGGGATTTGGTCTGTAATATCTCAATGAATTGAGATTATTGCTACATAAGCTTCTAATCTGAGTTTCATTTGATAATAACTAGCTTTCTGTGCCATGTCGACCTTCTAAGCAAGTATATATTGGTATTTGGAAGCTGTGCTTTTCATTCGTTGCTCTATGCTGCGATCAACACAAGATTCCACTTTGAGATCAAGGCAGTTGTATGTTTCTGCAGAAAATAGATTTGACTAAATCTATTATAACTTGATATTCTCTATATTGAGCAAGTGTATCATGGTGATAAAAGGCTGTGGAAGTCAATTGCAGGTATGTTCTGAAGCTACATTGTGAATTAACCTATCTACCCTCATAATTTAGTTTGAAGCCTAGTTGAGCTGCAATCTGTTTTGTGTTTGTTATTCATTATCATCTATTCTTTTGATCAAGCATATCAAGCTAAGATAATGTTGTGGAAACCTTGTTTGATCTACCATTGAAGCTGCATTGAAGATTGATTGTGACAATCTATTGTTTGCAGGACTTTGTTTACTAGGGTTTCTATTTTTGTGTACTTTGAGCTATGATCTCATTCCTATAATTTGTAACAGCTTCTGTATATTTCTTGTTGATACATTTTGATATATTTGGCGAGGTGTGAGAGCTCTTAAGGTCCAAGCAAGGTGTTGTGGACAGGGGGAGTACTGTGTGCACGTAAAGGTTGTGAAAGCTAGTGTTTCAACTTGTACAAGGGTGTGTGCAGAGTGTGAGACAACTGAGTATGTAACTACTTACATACAACTAGTGGAGACATTTATTGGCTTAGGCCAAGTACCAAGATTTTTCCCTATTGAGAGGGTTTTCCTTGTAATACCTTGTGTACTTGTGGATTGGCTATTCATTGTTCTTGTGTATGTGTTTTAACGTTAAAGAAGAACTAGAAAGCTTAATTAAAATTGATATAGACCAATTCACCCCCTCCCCCTCTTGGAGACAGAAATATGCATTCTGAATTAGGGAAGCATAGAGTCCATTTGTCATTACAAAGAGCTCTGTCTAATTTCTTGGGGATGTTAGCTGCACCATGGCTCTTATTATTCCAAGTGAACATAATTCCACTATATCTAAGATAGTAAATGCCAGCTTCATAAAGGCATTCTCTGAAGTCATAGATTACAGTATTCCACATTGACCCTCCATACTTTTCATTTAAAATGCGAGTGGCATTGAAATCCCCAAGGACAATCCAAGGGAAAGAAGAAAATTCTTCTGCATGACAATTAATATCCTCCCAGAATTCTCTTCTATCCACTATATCATTAACTCCATAAATAAATGAAGCCATGAAAGACTTGTTATTAGCTAAAATTTTGACAGAGCAGTGAATGACTTGTCTTAATTCCTAAAGGATAAAGAGCTGTACATTATTAGGATTCCATAAGACCTAAATTTTCCCCATAACAGAGTGGGTGTAGTTATGAACAATGTCTCATGTAGAGGCAATTCTCATGTGGATAGAGTCCACATTGACTGGGTTGACTCTTGTTTCAAGAAGTGCCATTATAGACACATTATTATCAGTAAGAAGATTCTTAACTTCAAGCTGTTTGGAGAGGCTATTGAAGCCTTGCATATTCCATGCTGCAAGATTCATTTAGAGGGAGTTTTGGAGCTAGCCCTCATATGCCTCAACCCTTTGAAAGTGAGGATATTAATACTCAATCCCTGCTTTTGCACTGGTTAATGGGCCTTTTATAGCCTTGCTTTTCTTGTTTATGGACCTGGTTTTAGCTAAAATTGCATTAACTACTGAAACTGATGTAGCTTTTGTGTTGTTTGAGCCTAGTATTTGTAGGGGGAAAGGATGTGAAGCAACTGGTGAGCTCTTTATCTATTTCTTTAGAGCAGATACAGATGTGGAAGGAGTAATAGCAATGGTGGCAGGCAATTCAGCAGGAGGGGAAATTACATCTGAGACTATAGCTGCTAATGGTGAGGAAGTGATGATTTTGGTGACAGATCAACAACCAGGTTAATGCCTTTGTCAAGGTCAATAAAGTTCGTGAATTCGGGATTAGTAGGAGAGATAGAGTGAGATGAACTGTGGGAAGAGGCTTGAGAGTTTGATTTACTGGTTTGTGAAGGTGAGGGTAATTGTGTAGATGGTAAGGCAACAGGTGGGGATCTCTGTTTGCTTAGTTGAGAGGGATGGGTGGCACATGACTTTGGAGTTGGGAGCTTGGGCTTAGGGATGAGGTGAGTAGGAGCAACGTGTGGATTAGGCAAACATGTTGGAAGTAAATAAGATTTCTATTTTTCCTCTTATGTAAAGTTTTCCTCCTCTAAGAAATTCACTTCACCATTCCAATTACAATTCAGAAAATGGAGGAAAATTACATTATTAAAGAACACTTACTTATGTATGAGAGAACAATTCTTTAATTTAATCTGATATATCTTTGCTAAATTACAGTAGGCATTCTTCGAGTTACCATTATTTGACAAACACGAAGAATTCTCCTTTTATTTTATTTTATTTTTTTAAACTAAGAACACAAAATAAAAGAATATTCATAAGAGGAAAACTTACACAAGAAATAAAACATATCTATTTATATTTTAGCCATGGTGGCTTAATCTTTCCCTTGAGAGAGATAATTATACTAACATAAGAACAAGAAAATAACAAATGAAAACATAATTAATTTTATTGAATGAGAAAAAACCACAATATTAAATACACAAAGATTAAGCTTGCTCCAAATAAAACTTTCAAAATCAAATTACAGGAGGGAAAATAAACCGTGCATAAAAATAAAAAATAATTACGCTACAATCAAGTCTTGAACTCATGACCTCTTGTGAATAGGGTTAAGTAGTGGACTCTCTCATGCAACACTTCTAATGTTCTTTTTTAGCTATAAATAAACTCTCATCCTTTCTGCAGTCATAATTTCTCGCATTTTTTTTCTTCTATTTTTGCTTCTTTTCTTTTTCATTCCGAAATTTATATCTATAAAACATAAAACTTATATAAAATAACATTTAAATAATATAAAATACTAATAAAATATATATTTGAGTGTATAAAATAATGAGTTTTGTGCATCTATCAAGGAGAAGGGGCAATGATAGATGAAATTAAGGATTATGTAATTAGGTTTTATTTTCATTGTTTTTGTAGATTTTTTGGCAATAATATATTTTTAGGGATATTTTAGGATTTTAATGTTATAGGGGTTTGTTTGTGCTTTGCCAATATAAAGGCTTCTTTAAAAACAAATAATTTAGTTTTAAAATATTGAATATTATCATTGAGTTTGCAAGCTCCCTCTCTTTGTGTCTTCTCTCCGGTTTTTTTTTTTTTTTTTTTTTTTTTTTTTTTTTTTCAATCAGTCAGTTTGTCTATATATCATACCTCAGTTTGTCTATGTATCATACCTCCTTCAATTTGATTCTCATCCCCGTTCCTCTGTCTTTTCACCTCCTTCGTGTATATATAGTGTTCTTATTCTCATACCCTTCTGTCTGTTTTGTTACTATTGATTGCTAGCATTTAAATACTCTACAACTTACTACGAGTCCTGCATCACATGCTCGCAATGCCCATAAAGAAGAAGGAAGGATTAATTTTGCATAGAAAGTCAAAGATAATTAAACATGTCAAAATTAATCTCGAATGAAGTAATTACAAATGAATTTAAAAAAATTAAATATTAGAAGAGACAGGGTGTGTCATAAAATAGAATCCAAAATAAAGTTCGAACCGCAAGGGTAAGAAGTTGACATCATTGATGTGAAAATTGAATCTAAGCCTACAGAAGAGGAATCTCATTGGATTCAATTTAAATTGAATAACTTGTGCACAAAGTTTGATCAACATCAGAGACGAAGAGGGGGTGGTGAAACAAGAAGTCATATCAACGGCGTTTAAATTTGTTTTCCAAAATGTTTTAGGTTTCAAGTAATTTTTATGATGAAATGATGTGGTGCATTATTTGTCTTGAATTTGTATATTTGTCGAAAAGTTTACAATAATTCAATTTATGATAATCATGGCCCCCCAAATTTCTCTCAGAATTATATTAATGGTAAATATATATAATTATTATTGGTGATTTTGTATAGAAAATTTAATATTGGCCTTCCAATTTTTTTTTTTTTTTTTTTTTTTTTTTTTTTTTTTTTTTAAATTTCCATTTATAGTTTACCTATTCACGGTAATTGAAAGTGGTTTAGGAAAGAAATACCTATTATTATTATGTTTATATATAGAGACACATACGTACAAATATATAGTAAATTATGTAAATCATAGAGAAGAAATAGAATGTTGGATAATTGACAACTTCATTTATTTTAAACAATTCATTTATGAATAAGCTCTTAAAAATGCAATGATTTTTTTTTTTTTTTTTTTTGGTTACAATTGTTTTCTTTTATTTTTAAATTTTAAATTTATTATTTCGACCCTAAATGAAAATTTATATATATATATATATATATAAGCGATATTGGCACTCCACTTTTTAACGTTTGCACTACAATTATTAAATAAAATGACAATTTTAACCCTAATTTTAAATGACAAAACTTTCGTTTTAGATTTCCTCTCCTTATTTCTAATCTTTATTATTTTAGGTCTCTTTTGACAAGAAAAAAAATTTAATTGAATAATTTTATTTTTTTTATTTTTTTATTTTATTTATTTATTTATTTATTTTACAGGACCAAGAACTAAAAATTTGTGTTGAATAAATTGACTGATTAAATATTTTTTTTTTTTTTATCTATATTGAATAAATTATCTTTTTTTGATAAGACCCAAAAAAAAAAAAAAAAAAAAAAAGTTATCTTTATCTAATAATTTTTTTCTTTTGACATGACCATAAAAAATTATCAAAAAAAAAAAAGTTATCTCTTTTAACTTAAAAAAGTTAACTTTGTTGAATAAAAATCTCTTTCAAATGTACAAAAACAAAATAAAAAATAATAATAAAATTCACTATAGAATAAATTATTTCTTTTGACTATCAAAAATTAAATTATTAATATGAAATAAATTATTTTTTTGTGAGAGGACTTCTGGGAAAAACAAATAGAAAAGAGAAAAAATAATAAATAAAGTAAAACAGATCAAAAAAAAAAAAATTAAAATTATATAAAGAATAATTATGACATTATAAATTAGCATGATGTATTAATGAATTCAACAACCAAAAGAAAAAAAATAAATGTAAAAAAGTGTACTGCAAGATATATATGGTGACTATGACACCTATATCTATATTATCTATGTATAGCAAGCCCTACACGAATGCATCTTAAGAGCAACCCCAGCGCATAGACAAAGTGTACAATATGTGAGCCTCTATGGAATGAAAGGCTCTCCTATGCGGATTACACACTAGTGGGGCCCATTTCATATTACACACTCCACTCTTCAAAGGTAAAGAATGGAGTAGCACCTAGCAGTGAGCAGAAGGGGCAGGCACAGTGGGTATTGCGTGGGTATTATGTGTGAGATAATGATATAAAATAAAAAAATGATATTGTGTGATGGTGTGTAAAATAATTATTGTATGTGTATTTGACTAATTAATTAATGTAAAGATAGTCATATTTTAATTAATTAAAAAAAATGTCATTTTTTCTAAATAGATAAAAAGAGTCATTTAATTTGCATAAGAATTTAATTAATTTTTTTTTTTATAAAAAAGGTTAGTACTTTTTGACTTATCAATTTAATTAATTTATTTATTACATAATAATATAAAAAATAAAATTTTATTCAATTAATAAATTTAAACATTTTCATCACGTACTAATTTAATTAATTCACATAATAATATAAAAATTACATTTTATTCGATTATACCAAATTTAAACATCTTCATCACCAAATTGATTCCACAAATGTTCTATCAACACGCCAAACGCTCATTCAACATCTTTCCTAACACTTTATATATATATATATATATATATATATATTTAAAATCTTGTATCTAAATCAGAGCAAACAATTATAGCCGTTAGTATTAGAGTTGTTAAGAATAAAACTGTTGGAAAAAAAAATAATAATAATAGCAAAATTTATTTTATTATTTTAAAAATAATAATATAATAAAGTATACAATGAAAAAATAAGTGCACAACAAGAACTTGGAGCTTTTAAAATAAGTGGATAATCAATTACTGATGTGGTTGTACACTTTACATGTGATGTGGCTATACACTTTATATAAAGTGTAGAATGGGTAATAATGGGAGCGCTGGGGTTGCTCTAAGGTAGAGCAAGAGAGTGAATCCATATTAGAATCAAGGATATCTTCACCTGGGAAG